ACCTCTTCTCGGCGAAAGGAATATTCCTACCAAATTTCAGATATATTGAAATACACTCATCAGATATGGTGATGAGTCAATTATCGGTGGAAATCTCTTATATATATATATATAGAAAATTTTTCACATTTACAACACAATATGCTAAATCAATGACGCTTTAACCCTCCAATTAATACGTAATGTATTTAAATCGAAATGTCATCGCCAACTTTTTATTCAACAAAATTAAAATACAAAGAGCTAAAGGTGAACAACATTATATCTACAAATAGCTTATAATCGATGTTCATTTTTTAATATGGCGGTATTCGCGATTCTATATCACCAACGTTGTGACAATAATATCACGTCAAATCGGACATTTGGCTTTTGTTAGATAGAAAATTAGCCAATCAGAAGCGCTTATTGCGTTCCGACTAAATGGCGCGAAAATTTAAAGAGAAACGGCCTTTGACCTTTGTTTCAAGTAAACAAAATAATAAAATAAATTGTATTATTGTTTGACAGCTACTGTTGCAAAATTTAATAAAGAATCGTCTTTTTCGATGTGATATTTTAAAGATATTTTCTTTAATTGTCTTCTAATTTGTTACGGCATGTTTTTCAATAGCATTGACAGCATTAAAAGTATGGGAAAATTATTTATTATTTCGATTTTATTGCGTGCCTCGCGCTATCCAATTTCCGAAATAACGATGATAAAGTTTGTAAATGTGTCAACAAACAATGATTCAATCTTATAATATTTGCTCACACTAACGTTTAGACACAGAAGCAAGCATGAGAGTGAATAGCCCCACGTGTGACAGTATGCATGCAACAGATAAGAAAAAAATTCGAACAGAGGAGTCGAGCGTTCCCAAATATTATTTTTATAAAGATTTTCTTAGACTGTGGTACAATATTTTGTAAATTAATAAGTTATACATCCAATCATATTGTTGTGCACAGAAGAGAGAAGAGTTTGCTAACGAAGATACTGTTACTCAAGTGCTTAACTTCTGCCTATACGTTCCTCTTTAACAAAAAAGGAAAAAGAAGTCGCTTGGTGACAAGAACAATTACAATTATCGGATGAAGATTTTCAACGTTCACATACAACCTAACTTTATTTTTTATTCTCCTATTTTTATATAAATACTGCCTAATACTTATTTTATATTTCATTAAATTATTGAAGTTATACATTCAGTACACGAAAGAGTCCCAAAAACCAGAGCCAGGCGCGTTCGAAATTTGAAATTTAGTCCCCTAAAGCTGAGATAGAATTGAAAATAAGAATAACATTTTCTAAATTAAAACAAAAAAGTTGCCTTTTACATTTTTGTAAGACGGTGAGAAGCACATGTGTCAAGATACTCCACGGAGTTTTAATGTAGACACGTAGGCAATAGAGAAGCGATATATTCAGACGAACCCACACCCTTAACTTCGTCAAAAGCCTCTACTTCACGCCGGTCTTTTCAATCTGGTCTCTTCGAGAAGCAGAAGCTGTTATGCTAGCCGTTATTGTAATAAAAGACGTAGACATAGAGTAAAAACCTGACTAAATCCGCCTCTTTCAGATCCACTCTGCAGTATTTCGCCCACGGTTTTCGTTCATCTCTTCCCACGTAATCGTCCGTCCCTTCTATTTACCGCCAAGTGGCCCTTCCGGTAAAGGATTACAGACCACTCCAGGAATATTGTGGACTTCCTGTCGCTTGCTACTCTTTATCCCGAACGCGTAACATCTGTTTGCCTGTGTTTTTATGATGACTAACTTTTGGAGTGGGCTTATTTGACAAGCGCCTAGAATTTAAAAAAATCCAAAAATCCGACTAGGTTATAAGAGTTTTGGAAAGGCCAAACGTGCAGTTTGAATAGAACGTTTTTATACTATGTTGTAATTGTTTCCGAACAACGTCCGGTCGTCGTCATTTTGATTACCGTAATATCTTCTGTGACGCTCACAGGATCCCGGAAAACGGCCCACGCATCTGGGCTCTAGGCCGTCACAAATGAACGAAAACACAAACATACGTTGATAAACACATTACCCTCATTTCCGTTGCGCGGTCGGATAAAAAATCCGCCTTATTCATGAATATTTATTATACTGATGTTTTTGTTGTCTGCTGTAGCATGGACATTGAAGACAAAGCAGTCTGGAAATGACTTACATCTGCATATCTTCTAACTAATCCCATTCACCCTGAATAAAGACCTCCGGTGAGTCCGAATTAGTCTATATGTATCATCGTGATATTGTATCTTATATATATATATATAGCGAAGGCAATAATAATAATAAATAAATGTATACTAATTTGTTCAAAGAATTTGTGAATCGGTGCAACTGCATGAAATAAGCCTAACCTGAATTGAGATATTGTGACAGACCTTTGCTGGTCATGGGTTTGAATTTGGAACAAGAATTCGTACGTCTTGTGAAAGTGTTCAGCAGTCATTTTTCGTATTCAAACTATACATGTAACGTCAAAGTAAAAAAAGTAAAGAGCCTATAAATGGCCCACTACTGGGCAAAGGCCGCCTCTGAAAAGAGGGTATCAGGACATAGTTCACCACATGATCCCACTGCGGATGGCGGACTTCACATATTTTCGTGATATTTTCTTTTATTATTATTTCGAAGATATGCAGGTTTAAACGGTGAACTTTTACAAGATAAGAAATCACTCTAATATAGAATGAGATTATCTATCTTATGTTTTTCATCTTTATCAAATGTATAGGTTCGATGTGGTAGGGCCCTAGGGCTTAACAGCTGTTGTACAAATGGGCAGAGTCCTCCGGGAAAGCATCACGGCCTTCAGCCATGTGTGAAGTGGAAGGATTATAATCGCATTTTTTGGTGTGTACGGAAAATCGTGAAATCGTACTGAGTACATTCTATTTGGTTTCATGTCTTAGATATATATTCTTTTAATTTTTAACATAACTGTGTTTGTTGTTGAAACTAAATTCATTCATTCATTCATTCATTCATTCATTCATTCATTCATTCATTCATTCATTCATTCATTCATTCATTCATTCATTCATTTCGTGAGGTGAGGTGAGTAAGGAAACCCAATTTCTTCCAACGTCGTCAACGCATTTGCAATGGCGGCAATCACTTGAGGTGATGACATCTGTGCGCATCACAACTTTTCACGTGAAAGAAATATCAACTTGGACAGTGATAACACTAGTTGTTAATAAAAGTACTATGTCCTTCGTTATACTCATACTATTTCTGTGTTTTAGAGAAGCAATAAGGCACAGGCAAGATGATAAAAACAGTTGGAGCAACTTCTTTAAAAAAAAATAACTAGTGTATTTCTTAAATAACACTATTCTGTATTGCGGAGGAATTTTACAAACGCAACGCGAATTTTACAAATGAAGAAATATAATCAAATTCAAATATAGAAGCACTACTTAATTACTGTCAAATTACTACCACCGGTTCGGAAAAGAAAACCACTGAACTGAGAAGAACATTTTTTTTCCATTATGTCTATTTTTATCACAGAAACATGTTTACAATGTATCCACTTAAAAGAGCCCGGGGCGATAAATTAATTTCCAGGGTGTGTTATCATTTAAATAAGCACTAATATTATAATTACCATCAGTATACATTTTTTTAATATAGCAATTGATGCGTTGTGAACGTTTTCAGGGAATTTGTTGTAAAAACGTATACATTGTCCCGTAAAAGAATTACTTATTCTACGCAGTCTAGTTGTGGGTAGAATCTAGTTGTGTTCCTAGTATTTATATCATGCACATACCAGTTGTTGAAAATTTATTCTTACTTTTATACAAACATAATATTTTCAAGTATGTACTGCGAAGCCGAAGAGATCCCGGTTAATATTCGAACCGAGAACCGCTTGGCAACTACGCGAACCGACCACGCGTAGTTTACATAATTCTGTTTACGCTCCCCAACTTGCAACGCAAATACAAAACTTAACACTCGCCTTCTAAATATTCACTATTTAAGGATATTTAGGCGAAGATGGGACATAAATCGCAATCCTTATACATCATGCATGGAAATGTATTGACCTTTTGCACTGAAACACAAAAACTGGACCGACATTCCAAAGGTCAATCAAGCTAGCTGTCACAAACAAAAGTATTTCGTTTTAATTAAGTTTTATAGCTAATTTAAAAAGATATCTAAAACAGAATGATTGTTTTTCTTATCACGCGATAATATAACATTATATAATTATTGCTTTAATTTTACGTAACATTTGTTGGGTGATAATTTTTGCGGGTCGCTTTAATCTTCAACGGATTAAAAAGATAATTTAAAAACCTTGAGCCTAATTAATATATGTGATCAAATCAATAATAGTTATGAAAAATAAACGGCGCTAAAATGTTTTCTTCGTTAATATAATTATATTAGGTACTTAATAAATAATTCGATTTATGAAAATATTTAAAATCAACACAAACTTCCAAATAATTTAAAAATGCAAATGTTACTGGAATACTTATTTCCAATTTCAAAAACTATTTTACAAGTACCGCCTTTTCTCTAAAAACCCAATACATTTTTTAAATCCAATTATTAAGTGTAAAATGCTTTTAATACAAGAGAAATTGTATAACTGATGATATATCTACGTACGAACTTTCTTAGTAAGAAATCATTTTCTTTTCTAGCAACAAACTTGCTGCGCTATTCATATATTAACATTTACCATTGATAAAATATACACTAAAATTATTCTGTAATTCTAATTAGATTTGATGAGATGAAAATCACGCAATATGGTAAGATAAAAAGAAGCGTTATAATAGAGATACCACATAAATTCTAAAGCCTTATCTTATAATACACGTGCTTTAATGTTAAATATCCGTAAATGTCACATAGCAACAAAATTTAAATGATATAAAAAGGTTTCAATTATATATAAAACATAATATTATAAATTTGAAACATGCTATACAAGGATCGATGAAGGTGGGTAAAATAAAAAAAAACTTACCAATAAAAGTATGCAAATTTTGCTTTTTTCTTCCAGAGCAAAATTACGCACTGGCCACTGAAACACGAGACATTAAAAATAAAACCGACAACTGACGGAGCGTCCGATTCTTTTTCTTTTTTTATTATATAATCTGTCCGCCGGTATTGTATTGGCGCGCTGGCAGGGACGCTGTGTCGAATGTGCGGTGCGGCCGAGCGCCAGACGCGCCGGATTTTGGTACACTGGCCAAATAATTTCGATTTACCTACGTCTGCTCGGTATACGTGGGCGTGTTGATTGAATAAATAAATATGTGACGATACGTTTTTCATGACCGCACTCCTTGAAAGAACGGAATGCCCATTGGTTTTTAAGCATACATGAATATTATTAGAATAATTGGATCAAACACATTAATCCGAAGTCGTGCCGCGTGGCAGACTATGGCTTAATAACATTTAGTACAGAGGACCCCTTTGTTTAGCAATGGGCCAACGTAGACAGTTCCTTCTCTTTTTGATATGCATTACTACTTAGATTATGTACCTATACATATATAATCAAAGATTAGTATTTAGTATATTGGGAAGCCACGCCGTGATTCCTTGTATGTCGGTAAGCAGATACAACAGCTCTGTTATGCTCGATGCTCCGTAACCTCACGCGTACATTCCTTCTAAAAACGGCGAAAAGAGGAATAGCATATAGAAATAAGCACAAACTAAATTAAAGCATTCCACTACACTCGTTTGACATGATCAATGAACTTTCTTTTTGATGGTCTTTACTTATTCTGACAGTTATTTTTAAATATTTGTTAGCCTTGAACGATCGATAAACAACACCTAAATCAGAGCGGGCAACATATTAATTTGCTGTCGTCTGACTTCCCGTCCGTTTTTAAAATGAGAGTGAAGGCTTTACCGATGCCTATAAGTCAACTGCCAAGTTGTAAAATACAATCAATCAGAAGTAAATTTCCTTAGCAGTATATAATAAGTTTCAATGTGACTTTCCATGTGTTTCTTATAAATGAACTTTGTGGTTATTGAGTAATAAATTAACGCATGTTCCTTCATTGATGAATATAGGAATTGAATTAGTGTAAAGACGCTTATTCCTAGTCTTTTATCTTTATCTGATGTTGCTCAGTCTTAGGAACTGTTTGAAGTTTACTCAGTGGCCATTTGGAACAAAATGTTCGCGGACTTTTTCTTATCCTATTCTTTTATTTTTATAAACACATTGCCCTGTAGGGTATCTTTACACTATGTTGTAAGGACGTTTTACAAACATAAAGGAATCTCCCCGATCCAAAACAATATTTTTTTTTAATGTGAAAAGTTGTCAAACGAGCAGACGGTTAACCTGATGGTAAGTGAATACCGCCGCCCATGGACATCTGCTACACCTAGGGGTTACGGATGCGTTGACAACCTTTTGAAAATTGGGCTCAATTATATTTGGATCACACAAATAGTAGTCCCGTGTGGGAATCGAACTGACGACCACCGGCGCCGAGGCCAACAGCTTGACAATTTCGTCATAATTTTTATAATATGTCTCTTTTCAATATAAGCGTGTGTGATTTTCGTTAATAATTAAATTGCAAGAAAAACTATGTAAAAGTTACACTTGAGGTGATACTCATGTTAAGTGGAATCCTTTAAAATTTTTCTCGTTTCTGTGTAAAAGTGAAAAAGACTACAGCAGTATTTATTGAGTTATAGTATCAACTATTCTCTTCTTTTCTGATAACTACTGTTGCTGATTTGATTACTTTATCATAATACTATACGATATCAACGCCTATATTGTGACCACGTACCATGTTTAGTGTTGCGTATATTAAAAATTGTGATTAGCGTAGCGTAGAGATTTTTTATTTTTACAGCCGAGTAAGATCTTTATAGATTATCTACTTTAGTCATCCTGTGAGTGACGTAACGCGGGCCGCAAATGAGACACCCCTGCAATGTCAGTGAGGGGGCGTAATTTATCAGTTTTGGTATATTTAAATGGACTGGAGTAGATATTGAGTTCGTCACGAACTCTGACCTTCCTTTTGTCAATTTTTATTCTTATAAAAACACCAGATCTATTATCTCTTAGACATAACCCGGTAGTTTAAGAGTATAAAAATCTAACCAATACACAACACCGCAACTAGGTGGGGTAAGGCAGGAGGATTGTTATGAGTACATTATTTACATTGATTCTTTTTAATTTTCGTATTTATCATAACTTTAAACTAACAATTCTTCTTTATAGGTATATAAATGTTGTGTATCTCGAAGAAAAATATAGGCATGCTTCATGCAAAAAAAGCATCTGAAAGGATCGCGCAAAACTTTAGTGTTAGCTCAGCAGTTTTAATTTGCGCGTGTGCAGTCGGGAGCAAAAGTGTAGTTATCGCATAACAGTTTTTTTTTATTTGAAAATTAGAGAAGCAAACGTGTACAATGGACAGTCACGACACCGACAGGGATGTTGCAGGCGTTATGCCACAACCTGAGAGGGTTTGCTTTCGATTACCGTGCTCGCCGGACAAAACGGATCATTTTATTTTAGGCCGATCTTCTGTGAGGTCGAGTTGAGGCCACTAAATGCCTCAGATTATATGTAGAGCATATCACTACATATAATCTGTGGCATTTAATGGTATAGTCAGATACGTAACTGTAGTTTTGTACTTGTGTCTATTGATTTAGCTATTCTCCCCTTGAAAATCGAAGTCACAACCCGCCACAATATCTTAAATGTATCTCTAAACCATTAGAAATACACACCTTTGACAATTAAGTTGCAATTAGGTGTAATTCTATCATTTTTTGTCATAAAGTCAAGTTTCATTCAATGTAGGCTTTTGACATTTCTCGTTTTGACCTCATTAAAACTTAACTTTTATGAATATCGAATTAATTATTCATTAAGCTAGGATGATTTATAAAATAACTAGCAGTTATAATTTTGTACTCTTGGTTGCATATGATTAATTCTTAATAATTTTAAACAAAACAATTAATAATGTTTTGTTAGATTCACGCGAATGCTACAAATCGTAAGTAAAACGAGATAAAATCCGTAAAACATTTCGAATTATTATATCCAGAGATTAAACATCGCATACAGACTAAATTTACCTCTTTATAGTATTAATAGAGACGAGTCTCTTAAAAGTACATAAAGTTAAAAGGTAAAAGTGAAAACATTTGATAAAAAAGAAAAAAAACAAGGTGGCCGACGTTGTGGCGCGAGCAAAACTCTTTTGTTTTTAATCCAACACAAGTTACTGTGGTTACGCTATCGACATCTTATATTGACGTTTGCTCTGTGGTAAAACTAAACCGCCGACCGCGATTGGCAATGACCCTTTAGCTCAGTGGATGGCGGCTAAAAGCTTTGAGTGATAGATTCGACCCATACCTTAAGCTACGCACTTTTCACGTATAACACTTTTCAATTTCAATTTAACGGAATTATAAAGTAGGTATACATGTTTTTGACGTCATGTTTCGAACACTACAAGACTACAGAAAAAGGTTTAACGGTGGTAGGGCCACGCAGCAGCCTCGGCTGTTGCACGAATGGGCAGGCCCGTCCGGGTAAGTACCACGAACTCACAGAAGACCAGCGTAAAGTGGAAGTATGACAAATACTTTCGCGTTTCGTCTGGTGAGTGAGGTAGCCGGAGCCCAATTTTCCAAAGGTTGTCAACGCATCTGTAACCCTCGGGTGTGGCAGATGTACATGGGGGGCGCTATTCACTTAACATCAGGTGAACCGTCAAAAAAAAAAAAAGGTTTTAGTGTAGATAGGGTGGGATACGTTGTATTATAGTAGGATATAAGGGTTTTTGGGTAGATTTCTATATACAGTGCCGTTACAACCGCGACATTAAATTAACACATTTCTAACGCTACATGCCAATAATCATAAAAAATACAAACTTAAAAAAATCCATAATTAAAAAAAATATTTTCAAACAAATTAACTAAATAAAAAAGTAACAAAATTTGTAACATCCTATACAGCTACAACTGACTGATTCATACATTCAGAGACTTTTTCATTTCCACAGCGTCGCGTTACAAGTCTCTCCTACTAAAAGTATGTTTTATCTCTTTTAAATTCATTCAAGCGCTTCATATGCTTTGTAACCTTTACAAATGAACTTTACGTTACAGTTTTATACATAAGGGTGTTCTAAAATTGTTTGTAAAATTTAATAACTCGGTAAAAGTTATCCTCTATATGTGTGTTCATTTATTGTCGCGGTTGTAATGACACGCTGTATGTCTTATCTATGGGGTAGATTAAGTTGCTTGTCATCTCAATATCATAGCTGTCTCGAAAAATTATACTTAACATTTTTTTGTTATTATTTCTGCTATTTAGAAAACTAGCTGACGACCCGAAAGGCGTAGTGGGTAGTGCACCTGCCTCCTGCGCCCGAGTGTGGGTTCGATCCCCACTACTGGAAAAATATTGTGACCACACAATTCATCAGAACATAGCGTTTTTCTAGTGTCTGGGTGTTTATATATGTATAATATGTTTTTATTTACAAAAGAAAAGTAGTTTTAAGTATGTTTATCAGTTATCTAGTACCCATAGTGCTTAGTTTGGGTCTAGAGAATGTTTTGTAAAAATGTGTCCTAAAAAAATATGTGAAGTCCGCCAATCCGCAGTGGTGCCGCGTGGTGAAACTTACTGAAACGAACATAATACGTATCTTATAAAAATTAAATTCATCTTATAAGTTTCGCCTTATGCAACATTCATTGGTATGTTATGTATTACCAAACAATCTTATTGTTTTTATACACTTGTCAGTGTCATCTGAGGTGACAAGATAAGCCTAGGGGTATCAAAATGGTAGCTACCGAAATGTTCAGGCATGTTTACTAAGATTATCACCACTCGAGAATGTCCGTTGTTTTCTTATTTCAACTGTCCCGGTGCACAGATATGTTTTATATATCATTTTTTTTATTAACGAAAAACACGGTGCAGGGTCCACGGTGGTAGGGCCACGCAGCAGCCTCGGCTGTTGCACGAACGGGCAGGCTCATCCGTGTAAGTACCACGACCTCACAGAGAACCGGCGTGAAGTGGAAGTATCATACTTTCGCGTTTCGTCTGGTGAGTGAGGTGGCCGGAGTCCAATTTTCAAAAGGTTCTCAACGCATCTGGAACCCTCGGGTGTAACAGATGTCCATCGGTGGCGAACCGCCGCTCACTTCGCAACTTTTCACATTAAAAAAAAAAACAAAACCGACTTCAAATATCTCGCTCTGAATTCATTTTATAATTGATTTTCAGGATTTCCCTACCAATGAAATATATATGGGACCACTCAGTCGAAAGTTCTGAGGTAACAAACAAAAAAAAATACATTCACGTCACACACGTCCAATTGAGAATCTCCTCCATTTTTTAAGTCGGTTGAAAAGTACCAATCTAGTAAATAATTCTTATTTCTCATAGGTCTTACAGGAAATAAGTACTAAATACACAATTACAAGCTCGAGCTATCTGCATTCGCAGACTGAATTTTATATAGGTATAATTATATATTATATATTATATATCATATATTATATATTATATATTATATATTATATATTATATATTATATATATATTATATATTATATATCATATATTATATATTATATATAAACACAATTTTGTCTTATTTACTTGCCATTTGCCTCCAAACCATTGCCCATATCAACATTAACAGTTTTCCATAAATATTATCATAGTTATATAATTTTATCATGTTTTAGAGAAAACATTACTATTAACGTCCTCGACGTTAACGGTTTATATTTTATGCACTATTTGTAATATTAATACTCATATTTAGCTTCATTTAAACTTTAGCGAAGCATATGCTGGTCGGAACAGAATAAGTTGCGTTCAGTATTTTATTAAACTGATATAATTTATTGGCATTGTTTACACAAGATATCAAGTCGTTTTATAATATTTCGTTATTTAAGTATATTTTTTTTAATCTATAATCTATTTTAATCTATAATTTTTCATCATCCATCTCGTACTCATAACAAAACTGCTGTGTCACGCTTATAAGAAGCATTTTATTATATTTGTTAGAGGTTATTAATTTATTATGTTTATGTTATATAAGATGTTCACCGCAAATAGTGTATTTTTAAATTGTAAATCGTTCCCACAGGACACTCAGACTCGATTGGAGTGGGGCCAACGGATACTAACTATTATTCTTTCGTGTCAATAAATATTTTTTTTTAATTTTATATACGTATACAGGCACTGGCAATCGCCATTTTTATTAATTTAGAAAAGTATTGTTATCGAAAGTATTATTATGTTTATTGAAAAATCTACCGATTTCGATGTTCATGCTGTTCGCAATTCATTTTAACTGTGTTAGTAGATATCGGGATTCCGTTTCACCGCAGGCCATCGTATCCATAAACTTCAGCCTGTGCCCAGTTGACTGTATTTCCGCAACAGACCAATGGAAATCAATACTATATCTCTATCTCTATATCGCATAAATTATATGTAAATATCGTGAGCTATTCACGGGATACATTTCAATGTACTAGATCACGATGAGCTTTTTCATTAAGTAAACATAAAATCATTGGAGCTTCTGTTTTCTTCACTAGTATTGCCGGCGATGTATGTTCAAAGAACAAACAGTCCTAGAACTACATCATTATTTGTGATTTGTGATCAAACAACATCTGATCGTTTAAATTCAGACTTGCTTAATGACATTATGGAGACTCAGGTTCAATGTTGTTACTATGTCACACTTTAGTACAAAACC